TTCACTATTAATATGACATCTTTTCTATGACCTATTATTAGAGAGAATCCAAGAAGAAGAAAGTTTAAAGTATATAATCAAGCAACAGTTGCAAAAAGATATGCAATGCAACAATATTACAAGATATTATTAAGCTGCAATTGCATATACAGATGATACAACATGAATCACAAGCAGTAAAAAGCAATTGTTAGAAATCTTAGAAATAGCGAAAGAGTTTTTTGAAATGAATGATATAGAGATAAATGAATCAAAGTCAAAATTAATAATAATAAACATGAAAGTTCAAAAAAAAGAAAGAGCAGTAATATATAGAAAAAGCAAGATAATAGAAGAACTAAGATATAAAATAGTTTGTTCATTAGAAATATGGTTAAATAACAAAATGTGAGAAATATAAGTAAAAAGAAAGGCAAAAGAAATAGTAAGCCAAACTATAAGAGATCTAAAGTACAAAAAAATAACAATAAGTCAGATTGCATATATAAATAATATAGTAATAATACTCAAACTAAGCTATATATTGCAGCTAACAAAGTTGTTGAACAGAAGCCTAAATGAAATACATCAATCAACAATAAGTCTGGCAAAACAAAAGAGCAGCCTACAAAAAATAGTAGAAAACTGCATAATAGAACACAAAGATCTTAGCAGCTGCAGAATATTATGACAAAAGTTAATTATAAAGCAAGTAAGTGGCCTCTTGGCAAGATTGAACAGACAAGACAGTCTCGGATAGCTAACAAGGCTAAGAATAACACAAGGTTATCAAAAAGCAGATTTAACAGAAGATATGTAGAAGACAAAGAAGCAGACAAAAATTGAAACATATTTAAAGAACAACTTAGCATGCTTTACAATACTCAAAGCAAAAAAACTAAAAATAAACATTAAAACAGAAAGTGAACTATGGACAATGTTTGGTTATAGTACTAAAATACAAAAACTAATAGATACACAATTGTAGAAAAAAGGAACAGTTGAGTAAACGAAACTGGTTTAATATATCTAAACCAACTACTTGATACAAAGAAAGAAAAACTAATCACATAGCAGCAACTAAAAGGCTATCAAGGCCAATCAAGTAAAGAAAAAAAAGCAGAATAGTTCAAAGCAATTAAATCAAAAATGCTTAGCAGTCCAGAGAGTAAAGTAGTGCAAAGATACTTTGGAATGGGTGAAAAAAATAGATAGTATATAGCATACAAGACTACAGACAGCTTGGAAAGATGGTCAAAAAGAAAAAGAAAAAAGCACTAATTGAATACTGGCAAATGAAGTGCAAAGAGAATGAAGTAGTAACTAAAATCAACAGATGTGATGAGTGTATAAGTAAAGAAAAACAAATAGAAAACAGTTGCCAGCAATGGATAAGATTAAATAAAAACATTTACATAATTCCAGATAAATTAATAAGTAAGAGTAGCAATCAAATTAAGATAGCAATAGACCAAATAATAGACAAGGCAGAAATAGATAGATCAAAAATAAGTAAAAGCAAATTAAAGAGTCTTACAATATTAGAAGAACTAGAGGTAGAAATTATTAAGTGACAAAAACTGAAAGAAAATATTAGTCAAGAAATAACAAAAGTTCTAAAAAGAAATATTATAAGAAACAAGAATAAATATATAATATATATTAATAGTGCAGCTAATGGGAAAGATACTAAAGAACCATCATCTAAGAATAATATGGGTATTAGATGGGTTCAAACAAATGAAACACAAGAATGGCCAAAAGAAGAATTAGTATTTGGATTAGAAGGATGACAAACATTGATGACAGCAGAGTTGGTAGCAATTTGAGTAGCAATTCTAATAATACCTAAAGAAAAGCAAATAGAGTTATATACAGATAATAATGCTATAATAAGAAACATTAATAGAAGCCTAGAACAAGCAAACAGAAACAAAATTATTAAAAAAAAGAATGCAATCTAGTTAATAAAGATTAAAAACCTTGTCAAGATAAAAAACATTCAGATAGATTTAGTTAAAATTAAAGGTTATAGTAAAGACAAATAGAATGATAAAACAGATAGTTTAGCAAAAAAAAGAACAATAAATAGAAAAACAATATAGGTCAAAAAAGTCAATTATAAAAAGATAGAGTACTGTCTAAAATAGGAAAACAGATGAACTAATATACTAGCAAGACTGCTTTACAAGTTAGTAATGAATGCAAGACTAGAAGTAGAATAGAAAGAAACAAGAGCAATTAAAGATTTAAAGCCAGAAACAAAAATCACAATTTATGATTAGACTTATTTTTGAAAAAGGCTTAAGGCAACCAAGAGAATATATTGCATAACAAGAAAAAGTAGTATCAGAAGAAGTGCATTTATTAAGTATATAGTAAATAAATTTCCAACCTTAAAAGACCAGATATATATACAACAATAGAATGCCAAGTATGTCAGAATAAAGTAAAAGAGATACAAGCACACTTGACAGTATGCAAAGGGTAAAGAATCTTTAGAAAAGAATCCAAAAAGTGACTATTACAACAGCATGAAAGAAATTAAAAAAAAAAAAAGATTCAGATTCTCCTACACATTTTATATATAGTGCTTTTTAAGAAAACAGAGACAAAAGAAGTTAAAATAAGAGAAGTACTAATAAAAGGCCTAATTTAAAAGAAACACAAAACAAACTAGTAGAACTATTAGAGATAAGATCAAGACAGCAGTTTGCAAACAAAATAGCAATAATAATCTAAAATACATTCTATGAACAAGTATGAAAAATAAATTGTAAGAAAATTATTAAATGAGAGAAAAAAACTGGAATAATAAGGAGAAGTAAAAGAAAAAAAGGTGAAAGTTCAAAGAAACCAGAAAAATAGAAAAAGGCAAATTAGGAAAAAATAGAAAAAAGAAAAGAAGAAATAAGAGAAAAAAGAAAACAAGTTGAGAAAGAAGTAATGAAGACAATTTTAAGACTTGTTATAGAAGGAAGAAGACCCTTTTATATAAACTTTAAGTAGTCAAACAAGTAGCTTACTCTATTCGAAGTAATGCAACAGGTTGCACTTAGGTACTATTAAGATGGCTGTGTGATGCTAAACTTAGATATTAGAGATATATATATAGTTACAAATGTAATTTCAAAAACTCAATAAAATACTAGTATGACTACTTATATGGAAAAAAAAAAAATCAAAGAAAATAACTAAAAAGAATAAGATGATAAAAGAAGAAAAAAGAGGTATGGTGATCTAGTGAAGTGGTTAGGTTGTCAACCTCTTAAGTGGTAGGTTGAGTGTTCAAATTCTATCAATAGTGAAAATTTGAATAATCACTTATGTAATATTTGTATTATGGCAACTGTTACTAATGATTAGGTTAGGATACCTGTAATGGCAGTCATACTAGCATAATTGGCAGGTCATAAAGTATCTGTGCAATATTGGAGTTATACAGAGGAATGCAAACTGACATATCGGGTGGTGTAAACACTAGATAAGTTCTTGTGGCTATGTAAATCTGTTGAAATTGGGTAACAAAAAGTTCATTTGGGAAAATCCGAGTAGAGAGATAGCTGGATCTTCAACAGCCCTACTGTAAAGGCTAGTCTGATGAAATGAATACCTAGGTTTAGTATCCGTTCTAGTAACCAGACAGGCAAGAACCTCTGGGTTGGGAGTCTTAGAGATATCACCAACCAGGTCACTAGAATGAATCGATGAAAAAAGATATTGGGCCGACCTGATATACCAATAGACTGGTTGTAATCCTATATGTGCTATCTAGATTGGTAGTTTGGTAAAAGGGTAGAAGAAAGACAGAGGTATACTAAAATACTGGAGTTATACTATAAAGTAGATGCTAAGGTCTAAGTAAACATTACAAAAGCATAGTGGTTTAATAGTTAGCCCTGACCACAAGTATTGGTTCTGCTATAGCGATACCTAGATCAACTGTAAAAATAGGTATAGAAGACTCTGAGAGGTTTACCTTGAGGATAAATTAATCCTAAGATTGAGATAATGATCTAGACATCTGAATATGACCCAGTGATGTTAATACAGATTACAGCTTCAAAGGATTTAAAATAGAACACCCAAGCAAAGGTATTAGATATGGCAATTGATAGGAAACCTTCAGGCAGACTCCTTAAATAGGTAATATAGAAAAATTATATGTGTAGCCAATTGTATACTCTCTTTTAGTGGTTCATTGAACCACAATACTGATAAGTGATTAATAAAAGTCAAAAGACCAAAGAGGTCACCTTAATACCAAAAAAAAAAAAAAAGATAAAAGAAGAAGAAAAAAAAAAAAATTGAAAAAATGAACTAAATGAAAAAGAAACTTGGAAGATAGTTGATATACTTATCACAGAAAAGTGAAAACCTTTCTGTTATGACTTTAAGTAATTAAACAAGCAGTTTATTTCTAATTGAGATAATATAACAAATTGCACTTAGATACCAATAGGATGACTAAATAATGCTAGACTTAAGTATTAAAAAATTCTATGTAATTATAAATGTATATAGTTTCAAAAATCTTAATAAAGTACTAGTATAACTGCTTAAAATTAAAAAAAAAAAAAAAAAAAAAAAAAAAAAAGATAAATTAGTTAATTGCATAGTGACCAATAATAACATGTTTTTCAATTTCATGTAAACAACCAATCATGAAAAAGGTATCCAATATAGTATACTGTACAACGTGATATAAAACCTTATTTTTAACCAACAAAAATTAACAAATGATCTACAAAACACCACCAATCACCACTATGCTAACTTACAACAATTGTAAATAACATAAAATTTCATTATAGCAACTAACTTCGGGATTTGTTTAACATAAAAATATCTGGTAAGATCCTCTGTCTGAATAAGATGAAACGCTTTATATATATACTAATGCTGTATTTATTTTTCAAATTAACAAAGTTAACAACATAAACCCTTGTTTTATTGTTTAAGTTCATGTAAATCATAAATTCATGACGTAAGAATGTGATCAATTTGTTATTACAGTATTATTAATTTTCAGCATTTTTCTTAGTCTTCTTGTATGGTGGTTCCTTTTCGCTATCAGTCTCATCTGGTACATCACTCAATTCATCCGAATCACTTTTGTTATTGTCACCTTCCTTATTGGGGTTTTCATCGGCCTGTTTTTCATCAATTACATCGTCGTCCAGTTGCATGTCTGCACTATCATGAACCGGATCTCTTTCTACATTATCATCTTCAGGGTCTTCAGACTTATCGTCTTCGCTTTCTATGGTCTCAGGTGATTTAAATTTACTTTTGACAGTCTTCATGGTGCAAAGTTCAATGTCATCTGTATTAGTAATGCGATAGTTCGAAAATATATACATACGTATATTTTTCAAAATACCTTTGTGGACCCTTTCTTGGCGACCCTAACCCTTTTTTTTGGCTTTTTATCATCATCATCATCGCTATCAGGAGTTTCGGATGACTTGAGCGATTTTAAGGGTAAACAGAGTGAATTAATAAATATGCATATATACGTGACTGATTTAAAACATATAAATACCTTTTTAGGGGTTTCGGTTTTTTTGGCGGTTAGAGTTCCTTTATTTTTAGCATTCTTAGCGCGAGCGAAATAAGGTTCCCTATCTTTCTCTGACATATTATTCCAAGTACTTAGCAACTGCTTATCAATCTGAGTTCTAGTTGCAGACTTGTTTTCTTCTTTAGATTCGAATATGCTTCTCTGTTCGATAAAGAATATATCTCGAGCCTTTTGATTCAATTCTAATTTTTTAATTTTATCTTTATGTAATTTTAGATCTTTTTTATTCGAAGTATCGAAAGGTTCTTTTATAAATTCAATTAACCTTTCAATAATTGAAGATTTGTCACCCGATACTTTAATATTAAAAAAGGCGCACATTTTTTTCAATGCAATCATTTTCAATTTTTCAAGTTTTTCTTTGATCACTGTTGCGTCGACGGGAGATTCGGGATTAAGACCTGAGAAAGCGCGTAGATGTGACTTGATATCATTTTTTGTACCAGCTCGACCGTAAAATAATCTGTGTATGTTTTTAAGAGTTTCATCCGAGGTTTTGTGCTTGTCAATTGCACGAGCTACTGACGGGATTTGACCAAGTGGGATACCTTTCCCCTGGACTATATTAACGGGTGGCTTGATACGTAACTTTGTTTCGGAAGCTTGAGAGCCATAGGGCACAACTGGACGTGCTTGTCGTCGAGGTCTATCATTAAGCACTGCTTCACTTTCACCTACGTGCTTTCTTTTTTTATTTGTTCCTGAAACTTCACTCACAACTTCAGCTGACTCATCAGACGACACTTTGGCCTGTTCCAACGATTCTGCCATGGGATCCGTATTTATAAATGAAATTTTTAGCAGTTGTAAAAAAATAAAATTTAATATTTGCGACTTCGCGTAAACAAGTTCGTGACGTTAGTAGCAACAGTTACAAGCTAAAATGTTGTCGTTATATAACCCGAACATCTGGAAGATTGTATCGTTAGCCAATGATATTTCTTTACATGTGACGAATATAAATGTCACTTCATGTGAGAAAGTCAAAAGGTTTACACTACTAATTTCTGTAACTAACATTGAGTACTTGTTTATAAATATTTCATTAGACGGTTCAACGTAAGCTTATGTCAGGAATATATTATTACGAATAAACGTATATATGCTTAAATTTTGACGCGATAAAAAACGGCTTTTATCGAGTTTTTCCAATTATACGTATAAGTCCCGTCAGCAATGTCAGAACTTCATCGGCTACTTGACTCAATAAGGACGGAAATTTGGAATTTTATGCCATACAAACTTAATAAATTAGTTCTCATAACCGGTCAGGTCAAATTTTACAAAAAATTTTATGTTAGGCCATACAAACTTAATTAATTGGTTTTCATAACCCGGCCGGGTCAAATTTTGAAAGCTTGTAAAAAAAATTTTTTATGTTTTACAGCTATTATCATAATTCTTGGGACACCTGTTTTAAAATTGGCCGAATGATTTTTCGGTCGATTCGGTTAAATTTATGATTTCGGCATAATAAATTCTATAAATTGATATGTACGTATGTACCAGGTGGCTAATATAAATATTATACTGATACAAATATCTCTACGTAGTCAAATATAGAAACATGATGCTTTCAAAGCACCTTCGCCGGCGAATAATTGAAAAAAAATTTAGAAAGCTTATCATTTCGAAAAGTGCAAAACACTTAGATGTTAGCCACTTTCGAAGATATTGATGTACCATAGTGCACTGACTAAAGACCCGGAGCCTAATATAAAAATACCTGAAAAAATCTTATAGAATACCCGGGAGTGTTACTGGGCCAGAATTTTGGAATTTTACCAGTATTTCATAATTTTACATCATTATTATACCCGGGTATTTTGCAAGGTCTTTTAGTCAGCGCACTACGGTATTGAAAAACTTCTGCAACACATTTTCGACCAATGTTAATAAAATCATCTCTTAACCAGTCAACAAATTCTTGACCATATCTAGCTTTTTAATATCGACACCTACTCGTGTAATATGTTTATTATGGGAAAGTTTATTTTATATCTGGAGCCTTTCTTATATTGCCTATCAGATTTATTGGTTGACAAAAACAGCCTTTTTCATAAGTTTTCGCACAAACTAAACACACTAAACATGTGCAAATATCAACCGAAAATTTTACCATTGAATGTGTCGACATTTATAAAGATAAAATTATCCATATATTACATGTAATTTTTGTTATGTGAATAACGTTGGCCAAACTTTAGTAAAACTGGCACATAAATAAATAGTTCCATGATGGATGTGTCAGTGCTCTATTTAATGTATGTACAATTTTATTCCCGAAATCATAAACTTAACCGAATCGGCCGAAAAATCATTCGGCCAATTTTTGCAGGTGTCCCAGGAATTATGATAATAGCTGTAATAACCGGATGGGTTTTTAAAAAAAATTTTTATAAAATTTATATATGAAAATTTAAAGAAAAGCCGGCCGGCCGGGTCTGTTCAAAAGTTTCATGTCATGAAGACCAAGATATTAAATTTGTGTGGCCTTAGTAAGTTGTTTTAAATTTTGAAATTAAAAATATTTTAATAATTAGGCCATGCAAACTTAATCAATCGGTTCTCATAACCCGGCCGGGTCGAAATTTACAAAATTCCAAAAAAATTTTCAAGTATACTTACTATCCGGGTGAGTTTTTTTAAAAAATTTTATATGCTTTTTATATATAAAATTTTTTGAAAATAAAATTACAGCTATTTTCATAATTTCTGGAACACCTACCCGTTACCCGAAATCTTTTTGGTCATTCGGTAAATTATCTAACTCTCCGGAAACTACATAGCTGTCTTCAGACCTTCAGTCCAGAGGCAGCAAAGTAATTTCCGGAATGCTAGATAATTTACCGGATGACCAAAAAGATTTCGGATAACGAGTAGGTGTTCCAGGAATTATGTAAAAGCCGGGTTACCGGGTTACTTTTAAAATTTTTATGTTATGGTATAATGAATATACTAATAAAATTTCTTACAACTATTGATTAATTTTAATCGAAAATATGAACTCATACAGGGGGATCCAGCAGGGTGGACAAACTGATATTTGGTGATGATCTACAGTGGCTTAGCCAATTTAATAAAAAAATTTTTTTTTATTTTTTATACGCTTTAAAGTACTTTTT